GTTTTCCCATTGAGGACGAGATCTATATTTCCTAAACTCTCCAACCTCATTGTGTCCTTGGAAATCAAGTTCCTGATAGGCAGAAAAATGTTCTTGGCTGTGTTAAGAGCAATCTGTGTTTTCCTGGAATCTGTTTTTGTTAGGGAATGCTCATAATCTAATCTGTGTTTAATTAAGAAATGCTGGTTTCCCCTCAGACAGGAAAACATTTACACTATTAAAAATATCTGGGCCTTTCTATGGTTTTTAAAAAAAGTATAGTAAACCCCTGGGTTTATATCCTTAGCACCTATATGCACACCTGTACTCCAAATATAAGCTGCAGTATTTATCAAGCATCCTCAAAAATGAGTCATAATTTGTTTGTAATTGAATTTGGATTGATTATCAGTCAGGGGATGTGTTCAGGAGAGGCTCTGGAGACCACTGGTGTGGTCAGACCTTAACATGAATAAAATTTCTGACCACTATGTGGCACGCACCAATTCACAGGTGTGTGGGAGCATCACAAGTGCTGCAATCTGGGAAACAAAAGTTGCAAGTCAAATTGAGTCTAAGTAGCTGTACATTATCATAGTGCTGATTTTATATGTTTTCCTGGGGTCTTTTATATATATTTATGCACAAACACACACATACATATAAATTGGTAAAACATACTAGTAATTAAAAAAGAAATCCTTGTAAGAGGTTTCTGAAGAAGTTTAATTACTTCTTGATATAAATATGTAAGAAAAATATGTGATAATTCCACTGAGACCCTTAAAAGCATATTATCAGGGGATGTAAAGACACCATTAAGCCTGCAGCCTAGTATTCAGGAAGCTTGTCTAAGAGAGGGAGAGTTCACCACTGTCAAATTTGGGCTTTATGCTGCCCAGATCTTTACCTACCCAAAGAACCTGTCTTTATCACCTTCTTTTCAGTGCAGCAATTGTACATTTTATCTTTCCCCCACACCTGTTGGCTATAGCAACCTTTTCCAGTGTGCCTGAGAGCTCATTCTCTGCTCCAGCAGATGCACTGTGTTTTTGCCTTGCTCTATCTCCTATCCTTCCAAGTTAAGGACAGCCTCTGCAAGAGCCGACTGGCCTTTTTTTTAGTTTCTGATATTTCAAAGTATTTTAAAATGCTGAGAAATTTATGTACAGCACTCCAAACAGTTTTTTTAATTTTGAAAAATGCTTTATCTTCCTTTTACCCTAATTCTTAGCTTTCCTGACCTGCAGACAAATTTTTCGTAAGTGTTTTATACTAAGAAGCGTTACCCTTGGAGCCTGCCTTTTCCTTGCCATGGCATGTCACCCGCCCTTGCCCATGGTGTGGGAATGGCCCACGTGTTCCCACAGGGGGTTTGGGGCCACTGCACTATTGGGGCCCCACATTGCTCCCCCTGCAGTCACCACTGGGGCCTCAGGAGTAGCCCACGAAGAGACATGGTGGAATGCAGACAGAAAAATGAGCCAAAAAAAAGAAGGGACAAACAGCATCCCTCTGAACTGAGAAGTGTTGTGGTGTTTGTGTTGTTACAACTGGCTTCCGTCTGAAACCAAAGCGTAAAAAAGAAACCCAGAACCAGGCAGGTGAAACCAAGGAGGAGCCATCCAGTTAATTTAATTAAGTTAACAAGCAACATACTGTCATTAGAGGAACTTAAAACTGGGCTAGCTGTCCTGCCCACTCATTTGTAATCTGGTTCTTATTCTATCTTATCATTATAGGTGAATGAATATATGAAGTTTGCTTTTGTGTTGCTGCTTTGATAGATCATGATATGTCCTCTCATCTGGGGACTGACAATACTGCTGGGGGTTACGCTACCACCTATTACTTGAAAGTTTGACTAATTAGAGGACTGGGCAATCACCAACCATAGGAAATTCAACAAGGGTAAGTGCCGAATTCTGGGATGGGGCAACCCTGGATGCTCGTACAGACTGGGGAATGAGATGCTGGAAAGCAGTGCTACGGAAAGGGACCTGGGGGTCCTGGTCTATGGCAAGTTGAATATGAGTCAGCAGTGCCCTGGCAGCCAGGAGGGCCAACCGTGTCCTGTGGGGACATCACACAAAGCATTAGCCTTACCTTGAATATCGTGTGCAGTTTTGAGCACCACAATATAAGAAAGATATTAAGCTACTAGAGAGTGTCCAAAGAAGGGCAACAAAGATGGTGAAGGGCCTTGAGACCTTGAGGGTAAGCTATATGAGGAGCAGCTGAGATCACTTGGTCTGTTGAGCCTGGAGGAGACTGAGGGGAGAATTCATTGCAGTCTACAACTTCCTTGTAAGGGGAAGAGGAGGGGCAGGCACTGATCCAGTGCTGTATCTGTGGTGACCAGTGACAGAACCTGAGGTAATGGTCTGAAGTTGTATCAAGGGAGGTTTAGGTTGGATATTAGAAAAAGGTTCTTCACCCAGAGGGTGGTTGGGTGCTGGAAGAGGCTCTCCAAGGAAGTGGTCACAGCACCCAGCCTGACAGCGTTAAAGAAGAGTTTGAACAGCACATGATGTAACTCTTGGGGATGGTCCTGTGCAGGGCTAAGGGTTGGACTCTGTGATCCTTGTGGGTCCATTCCAACTCAGCATATTCTGTGATTCTGTAAAAAAGCAAAGTTACTCCAGTTACCATGCTGTAAACACAACCCAATGTGGGTGTCAACATGTTTGTTGCAGTAGCACTAAAAAGTCCCAGATTAGTTCTCACTGTGTTATGGGATGTGCAAACAGAACAAAAGAGTATTTCAGTTAAATGTTCTCTTCTCAAAGGTATCAGAGGACTGGTTACCAAATTGCTGCCCTTATTTTCCTAAACAAAAATTATAGGTGTAGCCTGATAATACATGTATTAATTTGAAGGCACAGAAGGAAGGCAGTCCAGACTATGAAGCTCTGCAGGCTGATTCCACTTATTTCTAGATGTCCCTCGCTGCCTGCCTCTTTCTCAGCTAGCATAATTCCCACAAATGTAATCTACACTTGTAAAGATAAATTTAAAATAACTACGTGCTGACAAGGGGTAAAAAATGCAGGAATATTTTCTACATGCTCGTGAAGACAAACAATGGTGGAAGGTTTACCATCCTACACCTTACAGTGTATCTGAACTAGGCCTTTGTCTGTACTACTAAAAAGACACAAAGGAAGCCCAGGTTCGGAATTTAAGAAAAAGTAGCTAATCTCCAGACAAAATATTAGGAAATCTTCTGTTTAAATCACCAGTAATACAGAGAAAATGTTGGGTAATTTATATACAAAATAGAAATATACAGAATAGAAGCAGCCCCCAAGTGTATATCTCCATCTGCTTTATGCGGAAAAAGTTTTAATTTTTTTTGTCCTGCATGGCTTATATGCATTTTCAGCATTGTAATGCTTACATCTGCACTCAGGAAAATCAAGCCAGTTTGCTATATTACTGTTCATATTGAAGCCTACTCTAATATTTCAGCGCCTCTTCCATGCCACCATATCCTGTGATGGTTCCATCTGTCAACTGGTATCTTGAATGCTTGAAACGAGTATCTGCAAGGAAAGCAGATGCAGGAGCATCTGAGTTGAAAGGGACTTACACGGATCATTGAGTCACACGGATCACTGAGTCACACTCTTAAGTGAATGGCCCATGCAGGGAACAACACCACAACCTTGGTGTTATTAGTGCTGCGCTCTAACTGAGCTAATCTCAGTTGACAGAAAACACTGTACAGTAATCACAGGTTATCTTTTTTGACTTTAAAAATCAGGTAAGACTTCAAAGAAGTTTATTCAGGTCCTTTTTCCTTATGATCACCTTACCTGGGGTAGTCATGTCAAATCACATGTAGCATGACTTGGGTTTCTGAATGTTTCAAATTCTCACTGAAATATCTGTGTATTCATACACACAACACACACACACATATCTGGTTGCCAGGAATCGTGCATTGGATTCTGTACTGTAGTGAATATATTCTCTCTGCTACGAGTAACAGTCAGAGATTCCTGGAGCATCTTCAGCAGTGATGTAGCAAGTGACAATCAATTTCACCTGCGCAACCCAGGTGACAAACTAATTTAGCCTGCAGCAGCTTTACGACTTTGCCGGCAAGAGGGAAGAGTATTTACCTGTCCTAATAGCATTGCTTGAGAAATCATGGATAGTAAGTAAGAAGGGTAAACTTTAAAATCGATTTTAAAGTAGCAGCTCAGTGCTAGACTGCAGTGAAGGGCGAACAGTGTGCTGTATTGTTTATTATTCCCAAAGGCGGAGACTGATGTTTAATTTCTTTGGAAGCAGCTGGAATTGAAGTCCTTTATCTATCATTAACGACTGACGACACTGGCCTGCACCGGCACTGCCGGCGAACAGGAAACCCCGGCAGTCACGCCGAGAGCCCGGCGCCCATCTTGCAGATTATTAACTGCTACGCGCAGTTTTCCCCTCCCAGAGATCCCATCTTCTCTGCCAGCCTTCCGGGAAGGCGCCAAGCGACTTTCCCAAGAGGCCCCGGGGTCCCGCTCCCCTCAGCCGGTTTGGCGGGCGGGGGGGCGCCGCTCGCTCCGTCCCGTCGGGGAGCAGCGCCCCCCGCCGGCAGGAGGCCGCGCGGCACCCTCAGGCAGGCGTAGGGACACGGGCGCTGCGCCTCCTGCTCGGCTTACGGGCTTTACATCGGCGCTCAAACACCCCATAGGGCTCGCCACAGCGGCGGCGCTTCCCGGCGGGGCGGGCGACGATTCCCCACGGGAGGGACGGGACGGGGTGTCTGCGCCAGGACCCAGCACTGCTGCGGCGTCTCTCGACTCCGCCGCCCCACGCTGTGGGTGCGCGCGCAGCCGCCGCCCGCGGGGCGGGGCGGTCGCTCATTTCCTCCCTGGGCGCCATTTTGTAGCGCAGAGAACCCGCAAATAAAGAGCGGGCGGGAGCGGCGCGCGGGGAAGCCCGGGCGGAGGGGCCCGGCGGTACCGGCTGTGGAGCGGCAGTGCCTGCGCAGCTGGTGGCGGCAGGCGCGGAGGCGGCGGCGTTTCGCCCCCCCCCTTGATGTGAGGAGGAGCGCGGCCCAGGCAAGCGGCGTGCGGGGGGCGCGGGGCCTCCGCGCCGCGGGCGGGAGGTGAGTGGCCGCGCGAGCGCTCCGCCCCGGCGGGACGGACGGACAGACCGAGCACCCCGCGGTCCTGGAGCGCCGAACTCCCGGCGGCGTTTCCGTCCCTCGCCCCGAGCGCGGGGGGGAGGAGCGGGAGCATTTAGAGCCATTTTGTGCGAGGCCCGGAGCCCAGCCTGGCTGCGCGGCCGGCATCCTCCTCCCGCCCCTACCCTCGGCAGCCGCCGCGCCCCCAGGCCGCGGGAGACATGCTTGTCGCGTCCCTCGTTGGAGGCGAGCGAGGGCGGCGGGGCGGGCCCTGCGTGCGCTGGGGGGCGGTGGCAGCTGGGTCTGTCAGACACCTGCGGCTGCGCCCCACGGGAGGGGGGAAAGGGGGACCCCTACGGCTGCCGAGGCGAGTGTGAGAGCTGGCCAGTCTGTATTACTGTGAAACTTTCCTTTTTAAACATAAAAAGGGAAAGACAGGGAGAAGGTCTTGTGAAGGGCCACGAAGATAATTAGGGGGTCTAGAGCGCCTGTCTTATTAGGAGAGACTGCGGGAGCTGGGCCTGTTTAGTGTAGAGAAGACTGAGAAGGGATCTTATTAATACATAAGTATCTATTAGGCGGGTATCAAGAGAAGGGTGCCAGACTCCTGTCAGAGACAGGACAAGAAGCAATGACCATAAACTAAAAAAAACCAAGAAGCTCCGCCTCAACAAGAGGAAGAACTTTACATTGAGTGTGGCAGAGCACCGGAACAGGCTGCTCACGGTGGTCATGGAGTCTCCCTCTCTAGAGACATTCAAAGCTCCCTTGGACGTGTTCCTGTGTCACCTGCTCTAGGTGATCCTGCCTTGGCAGGAGAATTGGACTAGATGATCTAGAGGTCTCTTCCAACCCTAATAATTCTGGGAATTCTGTGTGGTATGTATATATATACACACATTGGGAGCTGGGAGCCCATCCTGGGGATTTCCCCACGGAAGTCTTTTTTCATGTTGTTTAAATAACTTACAGTTACTTTAGGTATAACTAGTAAAGTATCGCACCTGATATTATTCAATTACTTTTGTTCACTAGGTTTTTTTAAAATCTTTAAATCCCATGTTTTCTAGATGTTGTAGGAAAAGGTGTGCAGGCTTCTACCAGAGTTCCTAAAATTAAAATGCCCTTTCTTCATTTCACGTCTTTGTATTGAAACTGCCATAAAAGCCTAAAACATTATGAGATTTCCTAAAAATTCTGTTAGTGCCCATGACAATGTTACTGTGTTACTGTTTTAAGCATGGAATATGGTTTTATGTTGCTGGTTGCCAGGAGCAGATATGCAGAAGGAGTAGTGTGTGACAGCCACCATTTCTGCAAAATCATGAAAGTGCTTAGTTAGGAAAGTACAGTTAAGCTGTTCATAATATAAATCACAAAATATAATCGTGTTAATTCCAGTCAGTTATGTAGGAATGTTGTTTATGTTGGTTCTTTTTATTGTAGCACTTCACGCTCTTGCAAGATTTCTGATCTTGGTAGGTGAGAGATTATCTCATTTAGCAGAGAGCTGAGTGATGAGAAGCACCTCTTGATGCACAGTGCTTGAAAAGTTACTGTATTAAATTCAAAGAGTAAACATTTCAGTTGCAGTGTTGTCTGTAGCATGTAAGTTCACCTGTTTATTAACAGAAAGCTAAGGCAAATCACTGTGAAAATTGTTGTAGTCAGCCTGATACTTCTAATGTTTCTGAAAAACGTTGAGCACAGTGATAGCAGTATATAGCAGTAATAAATGTGTAAGCCTGTGGGAAGTTACTGTAGGTGCCCAAAAAGCTGGAGAGTAGTGAGGTAAAATTGTACAGAAAGAGCACTAAGTGTTTAATTGTAGGTATTATCAACCTAAGTTTTCAAAAATAACCTATAGAATATTTCTTGCTGGTGTTTTATTTTTTAGTGGGTACTTCTATCACTGTGAATTATGATAGGTAACAGGAAGGTAGTAACTTCTGTAACGTGGTGGACAGTAATTTCAGTCTTCACTTTCGTGCTCTTGTCTGAAAGCAAGCGATGGCTTTGTAAATGATGATGTGCTGGGCACAGAGGTTAGAGTAGCCTGGTCTGGTGCTGCTGTGGAGAAAGGGGTGCTGGAATTTTGTGTGAGGTCTGGAGATATGAGGTAGACTACCTGTAGATGGAGCGTCAGTCTCTGATTTCTTGCAGTCCTGACAGTAATCAAGTCTTTATAATTGTTGTATGCTGCAGAAGGATTCACAAGCCAAGTCTTTGCGGAAACTCACCTTTTTTGGTATTTGTGTGCTTCTGGTACTTTTTTGAGGAACACACACATAATGACCTGACATAATCCGTGCGCAGTTTAAGCAGTATTAGCTGTAGTTGTGTGGAACAGCTGAAAAACGTGTTTCTCTCTGTCAAGAACTTAACACTTGCCAAGATCTTCAAGACTACTTCCGAACTATGAAGGAGTTAAAGATTGTAAATAACTTTAGGAATTGCCTAGAGGTAGGCAATCTAAATACAGGGGTCACAAATGTTCCCTCTGTGATCTCAAGTTACTCTGCGTGAGCTGGGCACTGGCAATTTCTATCAATAGCCTCTTATGCTTTTATTTGATACTTAAGGTTATGTTTTTGGTAAAACAGTCTCAAATAAGGAGCTGCATCCAGAACTTCGAGTAAAATGCTTGAGTAACTTCTCAGGTGTGGGAGGGAAGGGGGCTGGAGCGGGGGAAACTTCTTAGTGTAGGGAAGCACTTTAAGTGCCTGTGTGTTACTAAGCCCAGCAACAGGAAGCTGCCATTCATAAGTGAGATGCTTCTACTAAATGTTTTCTTTACGTGAGTTCTAATGTCAGTATTTATTACAGGAAGGGAGTGTGTGTTGGTTGTTTTGTTTGTTGTTAACCAGGGCCTTGTTTGGTAGGGTTCTGTGTAGCTGTCTGTGGTTAATGTAGGTTCAAGAGGCTTTACTTCCCTGGCATGTATTTGCATATCTTACCAACAATTTTAGGATTTGTCCTAGGATTTGGAGAAGTTAAATTAGTTCATTGGGCATCATTGTGAAAATACCGTGGTAGTCTGTAAAAAAATCCTTGAGAAAATAAAATATTTACTACTTAAGAGCATTGTTTCTTTGAACTTAAGTGTTCACAACCAAGGAGTTGACATGTCCTTTCTCTGGTATACGTGCATTGTAGCAGCTTTACAAGCATGTTGACTCTTAATATTATATGCAAAGATACATGCCTCTAGCAAACCTTGCATTTGTTGTTACATTTACGCTTATAAGATTTGCAAACTCGGTATTTTTTTGTATATCATAGTTGTAGAAAATACTATGTATAGTATTATCCTTTTGAGATAAGGAAGCATGTCCTGTAACTCAGGGCAGTGTGAATAATTAACCTAGCACAATGCAGTCCTATTGTGCTACATATGCACGAGGGGAATTGAATTTGATGTTGTATCCAAACCATTTACTTTATGTCTTACTTTTCCTGAAAATATTCACATGGGTTTTAAAATAACAATACTTCCTGTTTATTAGAATCTTAAAAGTAAGAGAATAAGTTCTTGAAATAACATGTTGCTTTGACATAAACAGTAGTAGTAATGTTCACAAATAATTCGTTTTTTTCCCAAAGAGGTTCTGAAGTAGTACTACAAATTGCTTTCCTCAGACCCTGATTATCCTTTACTTTGTAAAATATGTTAAATAGGTGTAGACACATATGAAATGTCTGTTTGATACAAAGTTGCATGGTTTTGATTAGTTAAATAGGAAGAATTGATTACTGATTGGCAATTTAGGCATTAATAGAAATTTTTGGTCAACTTTTAGAGAAAATGGATTTGACTTGTTTATATCTAGATTACAGCAGCAAACTTACGTTGTTTGTACTCTGGCTCTGGAACGCTCTGTGTGGAACAAATATTTCAGTAGTCTAATAGTGCAAATAAAAAAAATAAGGCTGGAAGTACAAGCTTCTGACTTGCTCGGTGTTTCTTGTACACTAGGAACTACACTAAATAAAACTCCTTTTTTTTTTTCCTCTCCCTTCAGAGTTCACAATGACGAATGAAGAACCTCTCCCAAAGAAGGTATGTTTTAAAATTACTTGTGACTTCACCCTCCCAGGTAATCATGACAGCTTGATAAGTTGTGCTTTTCTTTTTGCTTCACAGGTTCGCCTTAGTGAAGCAGATTTTAAGGTTTTACCTAGAGATGAGCTTATCCTAAGGTAAAGTAAAAAGTGTGGTTTTCATCTTAACGTTGTAGTGAACTTCTAGTGGAAGATATGTGAATTTACTTTCAGGTTTTTTTTTAGCATCCTTGTTCTGAAAAACTATTTTATCAATTTTATGATACATCTCTTTTGTAAAGTTCTCGTCTCAAATATTTTTATTTGTAATTAGGGAGGGAACCCTTTTTCCAAAGAGGCAGAATTCCTGAATGATATTTTGTAATACATGAATAGGAGTGGGTTTTTTTTCTTTGCTCATAACAGTAGAAGATACGATTGCTTACGTTCCTTGCTAGATAGGAAGTTATTTTCAACATCAGAAAAATGTCAACTTCTTGTTCCTACAATATGTTTTACATTTTATTAGTCCATGCAGTCATCTTCTCAGCATGTTCAGATATTAGTAGTAAAATGTTAAAATTAAGTTTTCATTGCCTAGAACTTGCATAAGGAAGAACCTGGCCATCTTTTCTGCCTTTTAGAAGGCGAAGGGTCACCATGGAAGCAGTAATAGGCAATCCTGTTGCACAGACCACCTGCTTAAAGAAACTGACCCAAGCCACTCCTGTCTGTATGCCTGAATTTCCTAATTTGTAAACAAGGAGCTAACTAAACTAGACATGTGTGGGTCATCTGTTTGTCTGCTGGAGTAGTTTGTGCATTTTGGTAAATTTTAGTTCTTGGCTTTTTGTACATGGTCAGTTGTTAGCATTATTAGGGTCTCAAGGTAAATTTTGCTGTTTCATAGAACAAAGACTAATTGTTTAGAAACCTGGGGATACATGTGCAACACTTAGTGTATATGATGATCAGCTGCTCTCCCTCCTGTCGGAGTAAACTATCCTGCCAGATACTTTTGGGGTGACAGTTCTTTCTAGGGAGTAAACATAATCTGGCTCCTTATGTTTAAAACTGGTTTCTGGCTTCCTCTGAGTATGTAGTCTTCTGAGCAATAAAGAATAATATATTTAAGCAGTAAGGCAAAATACTGCTTTGATATTAAGTGCTTCTGGCCTTGTGATCCTTTGCATAGAAGTTTCTGTGCTCAAGATTATCTCTGGAAATAGCGAACTCCTAAGCCTCTAAAGCTGTGCCCTTACTTCCAGCTATAAAATTCATGCAGAAGTACCAAAGCATAGATTCTGTGCCACCTGTTTTCTGACTGATTAGTGTGAAAACAAAAAAAGGCTTGCCATTGTAATCAGTTTCTGTAACTTGCAATGATGAGTTGCAACTGTAGAAGAGATGAATTTCCAGCATATATTCAAGTGAGAATGTGATGGGATACACTTAAGGAGGTAAAGTATATTAGCAGCTAACCTGTGTTAACAAAGAGACTGGAGGGAATTTGCCAATAACAACTATGTCGCTATTGAGTCATATTCTTAGTGTGTAGAAAAAGTAACTTATACTCTCAAAAAGGGCAGTCGATGGATGTAGAGAGAATAACTTCACTATACCCAGAAGAGAAAATATAAATGCTGTTTTGGCTGTGTCTACTTTATTACTGTGCCTATTTTGAGCAGTTCTACGAACACTGTTCATGTTTGTATGGGGTGCATATTATGGATTTATAGCAAGTTCACCTCTAATTGTGATTTCACATAAAAATAGCAATTATTACACTAACTGCTGGCTTCATTTGTAGGTTGGAATAAAATATTATTACTATTATACATATATTTTAATCAATGGTGTCTCAAGTACTTTGAGATACGGAAAAGCATGTGTTAACTGCTAGATTGTCTTAAGATTTGGAATATGTTTTTTGGTCTATGCTTTGGTGAGGCGGATGCTTTCTAAGATGGATATGTGTCATTGCCTTTTGGTCTTTCAGGTTGCAGCAGTATCGTTGTACAATTGCAGTGATAAAACACATGTGGAAAAGATTAATTTTTTTTGTCAGTTTCTGTGCTATGAATCCTAATTTCACTGTTCTTTTCTGTAAAGTACATAGTTTAGATTTGCTCATTTTAACTTTTGTTGAGTAAACATGAGCAGGATCGACACAAAGCCTTTAGATCTGGTCTCTTAAATTTCTGCTTGTCTCATGACTTGTTGCTGTGGGCTCATCTTCATCTTTCCCCTCTTTAAGGCAGTAGTTACTTCGCTTGACTGTGTAGGAGCTTCTGAGAGAAAGAAGAGCCAGGAACGCTGTAACAAAATACTATGGCTTAGCTAAAAATCTGATCAGTATTGCCCTGATCATTTAACCTAGTGGTTAGTTGGAAAGACACTGAAGCACCCTGATTTATACAAGCAGTTCTGAGGAAATGCAGTGCTTTTACTGAGCTTCAGTCAACATGGACTTAGAGCCAGTCACTCTTGGAACAGTCTAGGTGCGCTGCTGCGTGTGCCTTACCCCCAAGTGCTTTTCTTATTGTGAACCCCAAACAGCATAAAAAATGTGTGCTTAAAGAAAAAGACTCCATGGCTTCAAATAAAGTCTGCTTAATATTTTTAGAGAAGGAATGGAATTAAGTAACTGACATAATGCTGCTCAGTTACCTTCCAGTTTTTGTGAGACTGTGACACATTAAATGTATATCAGATTCAAGACTGTCCTCCCAGTTCCGTGTACAGCTGTCTTTGTTCTTCAGTGCCTTTCCAAGTAGAAGTTTTGAAGCTCTTCTGATTGGCAATATTGAACCATCAGATTACTGACATGAACTACTAAATAGATCAAGAAGCCAGTATGGAGTGGAAATCAAACTGACTGGAGAAAAATGCTGGCTTTTAGCCTAAACAGAGAAGAAGGAATAAGGAGGTAAGAGTTAAACGTTAGGAGTTAACAGGGTTGGAGCACTGAGAATACTGTCAATGATCCTCAGTATCTTTTTTTTTTTTTTTTTAAAACTACTTGTTCCATGGTAGTTCCTTATTTTCCTTTTTGTTTTCATTGGTGTTAATTTCAGAAGCTACAACTTCAATTTCAGAAGCTTTGTAACTTCAGCTTTCCAAAGGTCAGAATTTTACTCTCCTACTGCTGTAAACAAGGGAAAACAGTCAGTGAAATAAGCTGGAAAGACCATGTTTAGAAAAAAAAAAATGTTATTAAAGGCACTGAAAGGCACAAGAAAAGATGGAAAGAAATTGTTGGTCACCATAACAGCAGTTTAGTGAAGCAAAAGCAAAGGCTGCACATGGAAGCCAAGGGAAAAACCCAGATTGATTCTCTGCTTGGCAGGCAGTGTCTGGCCACTTCCTGGGAAGTAGGGCTTTACACACACTGCCCCATAGCAGACATCATGTGGGGAATATTGCTTTGATCTGTTTGGGTCTGGCTGTGTTCCCTCTGAGGATCTTGCCCATCCCCAGCCTACTGGTGAGGGGGGAGTGTTGGAGAAACAGCCCTGATGATGTGTGAGCACTTGTCAGCAGTGGCCAAAACACAGGTGTGTTACCAGAACCTTTATAGCTACCAATGGAAAGCACAGTGCTATGAGGGCTGCTGTAGGGAAAATTAACTCCACCTCAGCCAGACCCAATAGAAGTTGCTTGAACTGCAAGTCTTCACCAGGTTTTTGACAAAAAGCCATGTCTGAAGAGTTGCATTTTCTAGAAGAATTGGCTGGCATGTGACTTAAAATCCCTATGTGACCTAGTGCCATTTGGGTTTTCTTTTCCAGAAGTTTGGTTCTTGCCTAAATATTAGCAGTTGTTGAGAGGTGACTTAGAGGTATTATTTCCAGCATTCTTGGTTACCATAGGCTACGTGACTTGTTTGTGGGTGGTTATTTGGGGGGTTCTCCTTTAGGTAGGGGTCTGTCACATCTACTTGACTTGTGTTTCAGGTTTCACTTGCTCTTTTTATCGCTCCTGTTATGAGAGTGTGGGTATGTCACAATTTTAACAGAATTACTGATTTTGAGCTGTGAAGTATAACTTAGAAGTCAAGTAATCCTGTGTATTTGAGGACCAGCTGTTTTATTGCCTACATTTTTTTCATGCAGAATTCTGTTACTTCTTTCTGGCTTTGGTGTTTAGTAAACCTTTTCAGTTTTACTTTTGGGGGATTGAAATCTTCTGAACTAACATAGAACTTTTAGTGGTCAAATGGTGAAAAGTCTTAGAGCAGAGAGATAAGTTAGAGGGTTAAGTAGAAATACAGCTGCTCTCTTTTAGGGAACTTAAGAGAGTTAATTAATGCTGTATTCATGTTCAGCTGAAGAGATGCAAAATTTTGTTGTTGCTTGAAGGAAAAGACCTTATGCTTCCTTTTGCTTTTTCCAGTGATGTGATCTCAGTTGCTGTTACAGATCTGATGCTTTTTAGAGCCTTTAATGAGCTGTTTGAATTCACTAAATGGTCAAAAATTACCTAGAGTTAGATTTTGCAGTTTCAATTCAGATAGTGGTGTAGATTACAGAGTTAAAATAGAGCAGTTGTGATGAGTTTGGCAGAAAATAGGTGTTAGGGAGAAAAAGGGTAGGTGGGAGGAGGGAACAGAAATCTTTAGTGCTGAGCTGTTAGATGAATTTTCTTCATAATGTGGAATTGTATCATCATGAGGAACACACATAGTTAGATGCAGAGTACTACTTTAAAAACAAAACAAAACAAAAAAAATCCCAAACCACTACCCTGTGAACTTTGTTCATATGGCATTTCATGCTAAACTTCACTGAGGACTATTTGCTACTGATTTAATGGTTTGTATCAAAACCAGTGCTTTTAAGTGTGATGTTTTCTGACTGTGGATGAATTACCTAAATAACATACCTTCAAAGAGTTATTAAACTGTTGGTCTGGTTGATGAATATAATCAGAGAATGGTCTTAATTTGAACAAGCTAATATAACTACTTAACCTAGACTGCCATTTCTAGTGTATTATAATACACTTCTGCTTGTCTTGTTCACTTGGTAACAGACTTAAATTTTGTATTTGTATCACAGTTTCTGTTACAGAATTTTGTTTGAATTGTTCTGCTGTGAGAATGAGATGCCTATTGGATACATTACAAAGATAACAATTAGTGTTTGATCCCAATGTTTGTCTAAAATATTACAGTAATTTTTAAGATGTCAATTTTAAGTGTTGTAATGCACAGCTACCTTTTAATTCTTTTGAGATGCAAAGTGGATTTAACTATTTTCGCAATATAAAGCCCCTTTTTTAAAACTGGAATTGCCTCTTATGCAGTTGTGTCATTCCCTCTTGACGTTTTCTGATTATGGTATCAATGTATATTCTGGAAGCTTAGGAATGAGATGCCTTGATTTAATAAACTGAGCTTCAGAAAACACTTTTTTTTCTGCTTATATCTGCAATAGGTGGAAACAGTATGAAGCATACGTGCAAGCTCTGGAGGGCAAGTACACAGACCTTAACTGTAAGTTGGCCAAGTTTCAAAATGGTACAAGTTATCTGAATGTTTGTATAAAGCAGAGCATTCAAGTAATATCTGTGTTTTCTAAAATTGCTAGAAATAAGAGGTAATAATCTATGATGTGAGTTACTTGTCAGAATAAAAGCTCCTGTTTTTTCTACTGTAAGTTTTCAGCCTCTCCCAACTTTCTCATCAACTTTTCTGTTGCAGATTTATCACAGCATCTAAAAAGTCTGGTTTTCTAGGATCCAGACTGCTGGGACAGGGATAAGCTTCAAAGCATAACCCCATAAATACACATCTTTTCAGAACTTTACCATTATAAAGGAAACTTTATCTGCTGAAATACTCCATGAATGTCTGTGCCTTTAATAGTCTTACAGGATTGTAAGATTGGCAGGGGGAATAGTTTTAAGAGGTAAATGTCTAAAGTGAGTCCCCAAGTAATATTTGATCTCATTAGACAAAGTTGATTGTTCTTACACGGTTGCTAAAACTTGGTCTTTTGAAAGAGTAGGAAAAACGTCCTATTCTGAAATGAGAAGATGTGAATACATTCTGGGAGTGACTGAATAGCCAATCCTAAGTCACTTTTTAAAATTATGTTGGCAGCTGGAGATGGTGTATTGACTGTTTTCCACTCACCTTTTCAGTCTAAATACTTAAAGACATAGTACCACTAAGTCCAAAGGGTATTTTACTGTCAGTCCAAGGGCATGTCCTCTATTCTTGCTGTTGTTACATCCCTCTTTTACTGTGGTCCCGTAATGTTTGAGTTTTGGAGAGACTAAGATACAGCAAATGAAGCAGTTGATTTCATTCACATCTCACACTACCTTAGATAAGTTGTTTCAACGTTCCCAGTTTCTTGATTTTTGGGGAACAATACAGGCCATAGTAATCAGTATTACTGAATTATCTGCAAAGAATTATTTAGAAATAATTGTCATGAAGCAAATGTTCTTAGTTTGCATTTATAGCTGATAAATTAGATTTTTTTTCTAAATTATTCAAATTTTTCATTGTTTTATGCATGACAAGTAGCAGTGAATGTATACAGTTGGTATTGGGTTGCTTGCATGTGTTCTTGTTTGAGTAGTTTAGAAATGTGCTGTGTTCTCTCATATTTAATATATAAATTTTCATAAATGTTCATGGATCCAGAAGAATTTCAGTTGTGACCGAACTGCCATTCCTGAAGTTCTTGAATGTCTTACTCTTTGCTCATGGAGTGTGGAGTTTGAGGATTGCCCACAAACAGCACTGTTTTACAGACTGCAGATTGCTTTTTGCCAGAGTATATACTTCCCTCCTTCCCTACCCTGGCCTCACCTTTTCTTTTACATGCCAGGGCGATTTCAACTTCCCAAGTTTCAAATTGCAAGTTGTAGTAATAGTTGGTTAAACAAGCAGTTTAAAAGTTACTTCCTATAGAAACATGGAAGCATCTTCAAAATTTGAGTAAGTCTTAAGGAAGGACCAGAATATGGATTTAAAGCCTCCTGTTGTAAAGCTTTTCTAATATTAAGTAATATTTTGATTTTTATTTATGCTTGTTATATTTATGCCTTTTTCAGTCATGCTTATTTGTGACTACTTCTGCTTATGAATTTGGTTTTTAGATTCTTTTAGCTGTCTTTTAAAAAAATTTTTATGAGAGGATACTATCAAACATGCTTTTTGTGTTGTTGCTTGTATTAGCTAATGATGTGACGGGGTTGAGAGAATCAGAAGAGAAGTTGAAACAGCAACAGCAAGAGTCTGCCCGAAGAGAAAATATTCTGGTGATGAGGCTGGCAACTAAGGAACAGGAGATGCAAGAGTGTACTGTAAGTATTTATAAAGGATAAGTGTGTTTAGACAGTTGGAGGAATATCGGCTTTTGAACAGTATCCATGTGCTGTGTTTTTTGTGTATCTGTAGCATCACACTTTGTGTTTAAAGAAATGACAGGGCACTTAAGCTTTCATTGAATTAGTATAGATCACTTCCTAAAGCTTGGGTTTTTTTAATATTAGTTTTTTCAGTTGATTTTCAGCAGGAGTTGTGATTGGAACGACTTTTATTTTAAAACCAAGCTAGTTCTTACATGTGCCTTGCTGACTTTTTTCTAGCATTTATCAACTGTGCATGTGTACCAAAAATGTTACTTCTGACTGTCATTAGTCAGGAACAAATTAAAGCATAAAGATAAGATTGAGTTTACTGGGTTTCATTTGGGAGATTTTAGACTGATATTTACCCTGGATTTGGATAACAAGGTATTCATAAGCTTTTGTATCTGTTCGGCTAGGTAGGTGAAAGAGTTAGTGACTTTTCAGAGGAAGTTCTTTTGAAATTTGGCAGATCTGCTACATGGTTTCTAATGTTTGTTCTAAATAAATTTTTTTGATGATCTTTGTTTCTCTCTCCCTTGTTTCTGGGTATTTTCTATGACTTTTCATTCTATATTTAGTTTTGCTTTCTTGAAAATATCTTCTTTTGATCTGGGGTTTGGATTGTCTTCTTAACATTTTCATCTGCTGAACTGGACAGTTCCTGAAAGAAGATTGTAAAAAGCTTCTTATTGCTAGTTCTTGTAACATACTCTTCAGAAGTTCTCTTATGAAAAATACAAGCTCTGTGCAAAACCAATAACTAGTATTGTAGTTATCCTCTGGTTTTTCAAGCCTTCCTTTGCTTTTTCCACTGAAGATTTTCAGAGCTGTCAGGTGTAGTAGTGTGACACTTAACTCTGTACACAATATTTTCACTGCTTTTAAGACCAGAAGATCATTTTAGTTCATAGTAAGTAGTGTTAAAAACAGAAAAAATAAAAAAAAGAGGGGATAAATCTTACTTTGCAGTGGCAAAAAATTAATCCCAGAATCACTGAGGTGTCTAGTCTAGCCTGCCTGCTCAGAAGAGGATCACTTGGACCAGGTTACTAAGAAGCATGCATAATTCGGTTTTGAGCATCTCCTAAAACTCTTGATCATACTCACATGGTGAACTGTGCCAGTGTTGATTGACTGACACAGCAAAATGTGTTATCTTATGTTTAAGTGGAATTTCCTGTGTATCAGTTTGTGCCCATTGCTTTTGGTGGTCACTGCTGGCTCTGCCTTCTTTACTTCCCCGTCAGGTATTTATGCACATTGATAAGATCTCTCTGAGCCTTCTCTTCTCCAGGTTGAGCAGCCCTAACACTCTCAGCCTCTGCTTGTATGTCACATGCTCCAACCCCTTAATCATCCTCAAGGCTCTACTGGCCTCACCCTAATATGTCTGTGTCTCTCTTGTACTGGGGAGCCCAGATCTGTACGCCATACACCACATCTCACCAGTGCTGAGTGGAGAGGAAGGGTCATCTCCCTTGACCTGTTGGCAACACTCCTCCTAATGCAGCCCAGGATGCTAATGAAGATCTGTTTTGGTACTATACTGCAACACTTACCTAGTAGTAAGAGTACTATATTGAACCTGCTTCCCTTGTTAGTCTTACTGATAAATTCTGCTATGCAGAACAGCAGTAATAACAGGGGATTTTTTTATTCTTTTGAATTCCTGAGCGTATAGCTGGAACAATAAATACTTAAAAGTTTTTCACCAAAACCATATTTGTATGTACTGTATTTACCTTTCTTTATTCCTGTCTTTGAAATAATGAGTTAAAAACTTCAAATATTTAATGCTGTGAATTTTTACAAGATTATGAACACTATAGGGTTTTTGACTGCACTTAGGTGGTTAGATGTTTGTGGCTGTGTAGTCTTTCCAGAACATCTGTTTAGAAGAGCTTCTGAAGAGCTTTTATTTTCAGTTACTTTAACAAAGAACAAGAGGATGGGGAGCAACCTACCAAAAAGAAGCAGAAGACAGACACATGCCCACACACTCATATGGCTTACACTTTTCCAGCTCTTGACTCATGAATAACATCAAGAATGTAATCTCCATTGTTTATGGAGGTAGGGAAATGCATCCTTGAAGAAGAGGCATAAAAGCAGTAATTGAGACATTGTCACTTGTAGGTGTTTTCAAGTTTAAATGCACATAGTTTCAAGATGGTCAGGACTGCTTGACTTTGTATTACTAGAGAGTATTTTTTCAGAAAAGTGACAGTAGAAAAATAATGTTGGATGAGATGCAAAGCTGAGCTATGTTGCTAAATCATTTAATAAACAAAAACTATTCACCATATGACATTATTTGATGTGTCTAATTTTTAATCCATAGAATAACTTTATTTTTGACAAAGGGAAAGGGAAAGGCCTTAGCCCCCTTCCAGGCTTTACTGCACGGTTATTGTAGGTCAAAAAACAGATAGACATTTGGAAATACTTGCTACGCAAATAGGTTTTCCATGGAACAGATAACAATGAGTGGAACTTACTGTGGGTACAGTGGGACTGTAGCACCTAGATAGTCATTACTCTGGTAGTTTAGATTACAACTCTGTGCTTTTATTCTTCTTCTGTCCTTTCCATCCTCCTATTCCTTCCTTATAAGGATATATAGTTGTACTTGCTTAGATTGCTTACAATTTCTGTTAGGCACCTGTGTTCTGTTTTGTTAACTTCTTCATGTCAGAGAGTTTGTACTTCCTGGCTATCTTTGGATGATTTCAGCTGAAGGGATGCAACTGTTTTCAAGAATGTGTGAGAACAAGAGGGATTGAAAATGTTATTGTCTGTCTTAACAAAAAGAGATTAAAAATCCACCCAAACAAAACCGCACACAGCCTGATGTCCTCTAAATAGACTACTTTGTCTTCTCCTGCCTTGGGTTAGAACAGAGAGAAAACTGATACCAAGGGTTTTTTTCTGTTTGTGAAAATTATCTCTACTTGTCCACCTGATAGGCTTTTGAAAAATACCAACTAGTGTGTGCTTTCATGTTTGGGAATATGAACAGTCAGTAGGCATTTCAAGTTTAGAGTGGGCATCCCCTGGGGTCTGACGTTGGACATGACTATTCCTGTATATTCAGCTGTAGCCTGAAGTTGGTCCTGACTGCAGGCAAACTGTCCTGTTCCCTAACCCTTACCACCTGGAATATCAGTGGGAGGTGACTTGTACCAGGAAGTGGTTAGAGGGAGCAAGAATGTGAGGTTTGGACTGGCTAAGCAGGAAGACGAATGGAATTAGGAAATAGGCAGAAGAGGAAGAGATTTGGGCTTGCTTTGGGAGCAGATCATATTGGGAGGAGGTTGCTAGGTCTCCAGGGGTGAAAAGCTTAACAGGTGAGAACTCTGGAGTTAGAGCTGTGGATACATGGAGAAAATTTGAGTTGGAAAAGCTGGAGTAATAAATGGTCTTTAAGTCTGGGGAGGGAATGAGCAAGGGTTGTTCAGCTTAAGTAAGTTCTTTCTACATGACTGTTTTAGGAATGACAGTTGAGGTGGAACCCAAATGGGCAAGTGCCATCTGCTGGGTACAGGAGTGTGAGCTGGGGAGACCCCAATGAGACTGTCAAATAGCTGGACATGGCACAGCATCAGCTGGGTCCTTGAGTGTTTTAGTGGATTTCTGGCATGAGAGCAGTGGCAGCAATTCTGTGTGCTATCAGTGCAAGGAGTCTTATAGTTCTTAGGCTGGCAGTGGAAGAGGGAGGGATCTGGGCCTACATAAGACAGGGAACATGGCCTTTTTCCCCCCTCAGTGATTCCTGTCTAAAACCAGGCTGAGAATGGTGTTGCTGTATCATAATTATATTTCTGAAATGTATTGCCAGTGAAGTTGTCTCTGTGTGTAGCTGTTTCACCCTCTACTAGCTCTAGCCATGCAAAGAATTGGCGGGTTGTTGAAATACTTCAGTAGTGGAAGAATCAGAAAATTGAGTGGATAGAAAAGATATATCAGTAACAATAAATAAAATAGATCTTTATTGAGTGAGCAACATACTGTGCATTCAGTGAGGCAAAGAATCAGTGGGGATAAAATGCCATCCAGGAAATGTTAGAACAGCCTTAATTTGGACTACCTATTTCTATGCAATGTTTGCAGGTGGGTTCTTGAGTGCTTTATTTCTTGGAAATATTTATATGCAGTGCTTCATTCCCCTTATATTTCTTTTTAGGCACATAAAAGTTTGTCTATTTAAAGTATGATTTCAGTTTTTGTAAGTAGCTAAATGTTTTTATTTTCATGATACCAAAATAATGTGTCAATGGAAATACTTCAGTTATATTAGTACCTTTGAAATCACTTACTTGAAATAAAATTGAAGAATTGTCGCTACTTAACAATATATAAATTAAAACATGTTACCCTCAATCTAGAAGTGATTGAGGTTGCTGCTGCACATTCAATGTAAATAGGATTTTTTGTGCTTCGCTGTTGCTGAGTAAAGACCCTGTAACAGAGTAACTGTATATACAAGGAAATGATTAAACTGACAGTGCTTTTGGCTGTGCTGTGTGTTGCAAGTAAAGCCAAGGGTGGAGGGACACTCTTGCCCTTTACTGTTTGTCAGGGAAATGCTGTTGCTCTCAAGTCTGGTTGCAAGACTGCATGAAGCAGGAGGCAAACCATGTGACTTTCAATTAATGTTATTTAACATCGTGCAACTTTGTTCACCTCTTACTGATGAAAAAATATGTGTGGTTTAGGGAGCATAATAAATTAACTGTAAGGATTAACACTGTGTAGACTGCTGTGATACTGGTGATTAGCTGGGTTCTAAACATTTACTATTTAGTAAATTTAAGAGAAGTCTGTTGTGATGGGAATAAAATTTAAGAAAGTTTCAAAACAAGTTCATCCTATTTTAATACATACAAGTTTTGACTAATAAATTTTATATTTAAAAGAAAACCTTGTGGTTACTGCTTCTGAAATTTTGAGTATTTTAAGTTTTCTGGGTTCTAAATATATAAAATTGTGGATTTTTTGGGTTATGGTTGTTGCAAGAGAATAAAACCTAACCAAAATCTGTTTTAGTTGTTGTTAATATTTCTAAGTAACTTTGTTTAAAAATACACAATCTTGCATCATAAGCGACTATTGCATTTGCAAAAGAACTTAGAAGTTTATAAAATCCTTTTTATTATTTGCTTAAAATATTTCTTGTCAATTTTAGCTGTAATGTTCCTTAATAATTTTCGCTGAACGGAAATGGAAATTAGCTCTCTCTTTTAAGCTGGTAATTCTTTCCATATGCTTTTTGTCCCCTCAAAAGAGTGCAGGCAGATAGAAAAGAAGGGAAGCATTCTAATGCTTCAACTATTACTTTAACAAATGTAAATTGACATACAGAAAATAATCTGTGCTGTAGAGGGGAATCTGCCTTGGAAGGTTAAGCTTGGCAGGTGGTGGGATGGGGTATTGGGTGAACATATACACTGATAGGGTACAAGTGCACAAAAGTAATTTTTATCTTGGAGTTTTCAGGTTACAGTGTTGAGAGAAGGCAAGCTACCTTGACATTATCTTTGGAGTAACTATTTTTATTTGCATCTAAGTGACTTTCAGTTTTTATTTATTATTGTATGAATAACAGTCTTTTTTTCTTGTTTTATGCAGAATCAGATTCAGTACCTCAAGCAAGTCCAGCAGCCTAGCGTTGCCCAACTGCGATCAACAATGGTGGACCCAGCCATCAACTTGTTTTTCCTAAAAATGAAAGGTGAACTGGAACAGACTAAAGACAAACTGGAACAAGCCCAAAATGAACTGAGTGCCTGGAAATTTACGCCTGATAGGTAAACAATACAAATACTCCCCAGTCAAGACTTCCCTGACAGTCCCACTACGAGAATGCTATGGTGGGACAGCCAAGTACTCGTTTCCACACCAAGACTCAGACGTTTTGAGGCAAAGGCCACATTCTTATACTGTCCAGCTTGTAATGCTTAATGTAAAACTTACCAGATGAACCTTGTGTTTCAGCTTTTTTCTCCCCCTTTGCTTCAGAGGCCTGACAGCGTCGGACTGTTCTGAAGAAATGGCCATCTTCGAAAAAAATCTTTTCTAGAACATGTAGACATTTGCAAAATTGTTCTATTTGAAGAAAATAGAGGGAGAAACAGAAGTCTAAAGTCTGTGGCACACTGTGTCTTCAGACAGTTTGGAGGAGAGAGAACCTAGAGATCATAAATCATGAATTGAACATGTAAAATTCCCATAAAATGTAGAAGTGGAATATGCTTCGCTCTTAACCTTGAGCCTAGTGACTTAGAGACACTGTAAGTCAGTTTTGCCAATAAGACTGTGGACTTCCTGCTTGTTCACTGAACTGCTGGGTCAAAACTCGATGAGGTGAATTTTGCATTAAAGAGTTTACTTGCTAACCAATTTTGAATAGCCACGAGAGTGCTATTTGATATCACAACAGTGATATGTACACATTTGACTGTTTAGCCTTTGGGCTCTCTAGCACCTGATGCAGCTTTAAGTCACTGTTGCTAAATAATGAACTGTTTTCTGGATGGTTGGTAATGCTGTGGATGCCTCAAAATTAGGATTGTACGAAAATGTACGTTCCATCTAATTGCAGGTTTTAAATTGTTGGAAGTAATATATATTTGGTCACAACTAGCATGTATAAAAAAACCTGGTTGTGATAAGTATTTCACTGCATGTTTTCATGCAGAAATGAGATTTTTTTCAGTCTTCCATACTAAGAACTGATCTCAAATGCTCAATACAGAAGGCACATGATGGCAACTGTCTTCAGTGTTGGTGGGATGCTTTTATTCCGTTGTACATCTGGGGTTTTTTTGTATTGCGCTTCTATATAAATTGTGCCTTGAAATAGTTGTAATTTATAGTTCAAGGAACACTACTGGTTATACTGTTGTATTGTGAAACTTCTGGGATGAACGAGAGTTGAACAGGTTGTTATTTCTGCATTGTCTCGTTCTCTGAAAACAAAGTCAGTATTTTAACAAACCAAAAAAAAAACTTCAATGCATGCATTTTCCTTGGTGGAATCAGTGAAGGAGTCTTTGCTACTCTATTGATGCCTCTGTTCTGTTGTCCCAAGTTACTTGTAAGTAGCAATCTGGGACAGTTGGGAGTGCATGTCTGAGGTGTGTAAAGCAAAATGTAGATTTGGTGTAGCATTTGTGTGTTTGTTTTTTTCCCTTAGGAAATAGAGTTCTATTTAGGAATCTGAGGTTTTGATTTTTTTAAAACAGTTTGGCAATATTTTATGACTCAGTCTGATCGTAGAAAATTCAGTTTTAAAGTTAAAAAAAAGACATCCAGTTGTCACAGAAGGTGATGTATTCTAACTGTTTTGATTTTTATTAAGATGCCATTACATAATTTTCACTCGGAAGTATCTTTAACTGTTTGTGCTTCATTGACTAATATGAGATCAAAGTGAAGTATACTTATGCAGGTTTGGTTTTTTTTGCATGGGTAATGACTTAACAGCAAAAGAAAAATTTACACAGAAATTTTACCTTTTTAAAAGTGATACATCTGGAATGATTTTGCTCTAGCAGTATCTAAGATTTTAATGATCTAGCATCAAAACAGAGGTAAGACTTACATTAAGAAATTGTTGACCTGTTACCAAGCCATTTGTAAAGCTCACTGTGTGTTGAAAGAGGCATGCCATGCAGATTGCTTGTTTAACTTGGAGTTCAGAAAATAATTTAATACATTTAGGTACAGATTGGGTGTTTTCTTAAGTCCTCAGGCTCTAAATGTGTGTTTACAACTGAGGAGAGACAAGTAATTTGCCACTTCCTTTCAAACTAAAGTATCAAAAGAAAATGTTATTTCTGTAGCTGCAACATACCCTAATTTGCATAATATAATTTTAAGTCAGTGGTGTGAATGTTCGTAATTCATACATGCAGTAGCTGGAATATAGAAAATTAGTTATTTCCTGGTAAATAATTGAGGCTGTCTTTGTTAACTGGGTTAAGATTTTACTGTTTTTTTTTTTTTTTTTTCTGGAAAGGTAAAGAAATGATAATCATGTAAAATACTTTGAGGTTTTTTCATTCTCTTTGCATCTTGCCTCCCTCCTTAATTGCTTTAATTGTCCACCCTTAAATACAGCTTCTCTTAAATCATGGCATCTAATCTAGTTTTTGGTCCTATTCAGATCCTAACTGAAGCTCTTGGTGTGAGTAACATGTTACAACTGCATCCCTAAGTGGAATTAGTTCTGGACCTTAACTGTAGATAAGGCTGTGCAGCATAATCATTGCTGGTGTCTGGAGGGGAAAATGAAAGGGCATGTAATCAGAGGAATGGCTATGCTAAGCCATTTCAACCATCATTAAACAGTATACACTTGGAATAAAAAGTAGTAGAAAAGTCATTTGCAGTAAACAACAAACTCTAGTCTTCTGATATTTAACCGCTTACATTCTTACAGGTTTTGTTGCATGTATGTTCAAGAGGATTTGTGAAAACAATGCTGAACTTAGTTTTACAGCTAATAGGATTTATTTTAATAGTTGCTGGATTTTGTGTTCTTGAATGTGTTGTCGTTTTTGTAAATTGCAAGGGGAGGTTATTTGCTGCCCTACTAGTTCAGAACATCTGGAAAAATTTTGATGGGGAGAAATAGCATTATAGGTAACTATGCAAATTTTTATACAGGTAATAAATATTTTACATTTTGGCAGGAGTTAACATGAAGAAATTAATGGGATTCTAAAATTGTCCCAATTCCAAGGAAACCGGTACTTGCTAATTCTACAGTTGGCGTTGGTTTGTGAAAAGCATTAAATGATTTAAGCATTGTAAACTTTTTCTACTTCTAGTGATGATGAATACAGTAACAGGAATTTGCAAATGGCTAAAAATCACGTCTGCCTAATAACTTTTGGGATCTGTCACATTGGTTATCTCCTAAGTGGTCCTGCTTTACACAGAATGAACATCTCTAAGGAAACTTGCATCTTAAGTGTGCGACTTGGACTGTATTAGGTCAGCACAATTTAAACTTCAAGGACCTGGCATTGGACATCACATCAAGAAAGAAAACAGGCTGCTGCCTTTAGCAGTTTCAGGCCTCCAGGACTTTACACAGCCAGATTCCTTCTGGAGCAGCCCATCTGAAAGATTTGGGAAAGTCAGTCGGAAAATGTTAAATGGGGCATAGTTGGCAGAGCTTAAAATTTGTCTAAGGCTTGAATGCTCAAAAGGTAGTTGATAAGGAAATTGTTTTAAGGTTTTTTGGTTGGATATTTTGGTTGCAGGAGAGAACTGTGGCTGTGATTGTAGCAGAAGTTTCCTGTTCTACTTTTTTAATCCTCATTTTTTTTTCAATACTTGTCTCTTGTTTAAAAGCAAACAAACAAAAAGCTAAATGACCTTCTTGGTCTTGAAAAGTAATGCAAGTCTTGCCATTGAATTCACAATAAACCTGTTCAAGTTTGGGTGGTTTTTTGGCAGAGGTTACATTTCTATAGAAAAGAGGACAGCTTAATTATGGTGCTGAGCCTATTAAAAGGAAAACTGTTTGAGGATGCTATCCTGACTTGGCAGACCAAGAGTCCTAAAGGACTTAAATTTTTTTCTTTTATGGAGTCAGCTGTATTGCCTATATATTAATTTGCATACTACTTCCTATAATGCTTTACAATGTGATTTTTATCATGAAGATTAAAGATGTGTAATGTTACCAATTTAGTAAAAAAAAAATCTTGTCAGTTGAAAATAATTTTCCTGCTTTTCTCACTTCTTTCAGAAACTGAACATCCTAATGATCATTAATTATTAGTGAAATCTGTCAGTCTAAAGGAAGTAGATAAGTAATATACTCCTTCCTTAAATGTCCTGCCAGTGTTTATCTACATTTTCACTCCTCACCATACAAGATGTACTTAAGAAATACTGACTGTAGAAGTCATGAAACAAACTATGCATGTGGCTGTCAAACATATAAGTTGAGTTGAAAAATGGACATCTCATTTTTTAAATAAGAGTACCTGGACAGCATTTTAAAGAATGCTTAAGCTTCTTAAAGAAAATTGGATGTCACTATGAAAAATTAACATGGGATTTATCATTTCCCCCAAGCAACTTTTTCTTCATCCAAATTTAATTATTCAATTTTACTAGTACAATAAATGGGGAAGGTTTTTGCTTATGTAGTTTCTATGCAGTACTTGATCTTTTGAATTGCAAAGCACATCTTTAATCAAATATTTAGGTCTGTTGAGAATTGGCACATGCAAGATTGTGCATACTGATAATCCAGATGTTGGTATCAAAGAACAATATGCTTATTCATATTTTCAGTAATAAAACTTGCCTTCCACTTTATGGGACAGCGGCAGAAGATCTACTGGCGTTGGAACAGCATGTGGTAACTATAGAGAGACTTTCTGCTATGACAATTATGTTGAGGCATAATGTTCCTTGAATTGTGACATGCAGAAATTGCATCTCCTTTTTGTCTGTAATTGTGATTGAGGAAGATTACTGAAGGTTTTGTATTCATTTTGTGATAGATGGCTCTTTCCTTTGCAGCCAAACAGGGAAAAAGTTAATGGCGAAGTGTCGAATGCTTATCCAGGAGAATCAAGAGCTTGGAAGGCAGCTGTCCCAAGGACGTATTGCACAGCTTGAGGCAGAGTTGGCTTTACAGAAGAAATATAGTGAGGAACTTAAAAGCAGTCAGGATGGTAAGGGATTTTTTTAAAGAAAACGGAAGTTGCCTTGCACTTCTGCTAGTTTAATTTCTTGATTATACACATCATGTAAAACCATCTTTGCCAGAATGAAAGGACAATATCAAGTAAAATAGGACAACTGTAAGTCTTCACTGGTAGTCTTAATTAAAAGCAAACAAACAAAATGCTTAACTTTGGGGGAACTGGTGGGATTTGCAGTCCAGTAATGCAGCCTTTGAAATTGAGATTTTTGTACTTTAGGTCTTGCTATTTAATAGGAAGTGTTTAGACTGCACGCATTATTGGTGAATTGGCAGGATGAAAGCTGTTAACAATACACAAAGCCTAAGCATGCACTGAGAACAGAAAGCTTCTTGTTAACTCTGATTCATTTTGAATTTATTTTAAAAAATCAACAACTTTCTAACAATGCCAAAGAATATGAAAAATAGATTTTTTTTTTTCCTTAGGTAACTTAGATGAATGAAAATAACTCATTGTGTTCACAGTCCAAATTTTACAACACTGTAAATCTAAATTGAAATTGCCTTTCAACTCTGACCTCTTGTATAAATTAAATGGAGGGGAAAATGCAAGTTTGAAAAGTCCTCAGTCTTGAGTTCTGCATAGGATCGGTGGTTCTTAATAGAATGTTAAAGTAGGTTATGTGAAGTTTTAAGATACGACCTGTTTAGACATCACATAAACCTGAATATCTTTGCTTGTTTTACATCTGAAATCTGTAAAATAGCATAGACTTGGTTTGACATCAGATGTAAGTCTGAGATATCCTGTAAAAGGATATTTCTTCCCCCGATCATATTTTCATATTTTTGACAAAGTAGTACTATAAAATAACTAGAATCAATAAGGTAAATGATTCTATAATGTCATTTTGTTTGAATAGTTACCCTTTTGCTTTGTAACTACTATTTTGATAATGTACTTCAACAGAATTTATCACGTATGTAATTGAAGCAAGTATAGCCATTCTTTAAGGAATTCTTCTCTTGAATGCAGTAGTCTGTAGAACTGAGAAGTGTTCTTTAGCCCCTATTGCCTCTTCCCTGTATGAGGCAAGATGACAGTAATCCTGCAATAACAGTTTTCCTAATGATTGTTTTCCATAGCAGCAAGGTCACCTTAATTTTACGAATTTTTACAATATTAAGCAGTTTACACTTTATTTGCTCTGTCGAATTGATGGTGCAGTTGAATGGAAGACTGAGGAAATTAGTGTTTCTTGCACTGTTTTGAGGTCAGATTCATTTTGCTCCAGAATGGAGTCCTAATTATAAAAACTGTTTTCTGGTACATAATTAATTCCACTGGGTGTTTTAATATTTAACAGCCTAGTTGGTAAGAAAGCCTTTTTGTGCCTTGTCTTGAAGGATTTAAAGGCTTAAACAGAGTAAGAGCTGAAACTTCCTTTAAATATGACGGAAAGTTTTTTTTTGTTACTGAATAAGCTTTTGCAATTATTTGCAAATAATATGCAGTTATTCAGATCTGTTATATCTGGATATGGTCCATGGTCCTTCTTTTACAGTATTTCCACTAAGGTTTTATACTTGGGTAAGAGTAGACACACTAAGATCTATTTGTGAAATATTAATTATTGGAATTGAGCTTTTTTTCCATATGTCTTCTTACCCAGAAATTAATTTTTTCTCATGTATTTTGAATAGCAGTATAGAAAGTAAGTAGATATGACAAGTAAGCATTTTCTCCTTCAGAGGCAGTGTATCAAAACCAGTGCATACTTGATGGCTGAAAAATAGTTTATTGAAAAATTTCAGCATAAAGTGTTGAGTTATGGGATTTTAATTTCTTGTCTATATATGGGCTATTAAGTGTTTGCAACAAATGTGTTTTCTTTACATAGAATTGAATGACTTCATCATCCAACTTGATGAGGAGGTAGAGGGTATGCAGAGTACCATTCTAGTTCTTCAGCAGCAGTTGAAGGAGACTCGCCAGCAGTTGTCACAGTATCAGCAGCAACAGTCCCAGGTCGCCAACCCAGGTACCAGCAGGACTCCATCTTCTGAGCCTACAGACCAGGGAGAGGCTGTGGGTAAAGACTGCAGCCGCCTGGCAAACGGACCAAGCAATGGTAGCTCCTCCCATCAGCGGACGTCTGGGCCTGGATTTTATAGGGAGGGTAGCGGCACAGAAGATGACTTCACAGCTTCTCCAGGGAATGGTAATAAGCTGTCCAACCACTCTGAAGATAGAACTGGTAGAGGAAGTGGTAGCTACATAAACCAACTCAGTACTGGGTATGAAAGTGTAGACTCTCCCACTGGCAGTGAAAACTCTCTCACTCACCACTCAAATGACACAGACTCCAATCATGATCCTCAAGAGGAGAAAACAGTGAGCATGAAAGGTAACAGAACTGTGGGTTCTCGTCATGTCCAGAATGGTTTGGACTCCAGTGTAAATGTGCAGGGTTCAGTTTTGTAACATTTTTCTGCAGAATTTTTATACAGTGTCATTGAAACTGGGAGAGGATACTGTCCAGAAGCCGTTTAAATTAGTGCATACTTGTCACAATTTTGCCTTTTTGTGGGTTTCTTTTTGCTTCAATACCTCTGCCACTTTGGAAATTTTAACAGTTAATTACGTTGAATGTTGCTAAAAGGACGTTTGTGTAGCTCAAGTTATTTTTATATGAGTTAATGTGAAGTTGAAATGGAAATTATTTCCATAAAGTATAACATAAATGATGTCTGTACAAATCTGTGTATATCTAGAACCTGTGCTGTGTAAGGGCATTCTTACTCATACTGTTATACTTACACCACCTTCAAGATTTGTCATAATAGCTGTGGGTTTATGACTGCCAAGTTTGCCCAGTACAGTAGTTTTATCACTAAAAAGAAGGACTTACTGAAGGAGTCCTGTAGTAGTTTCAGTGTTAATTACAGTTTTTCCCACCATACATCTGTGCATTTTCTCCTTAGGTGACCGAATGTTTATTAATTGTGTGCATAGTTACTCAGTTTTTAAGAACTGTTGTATCCTGTTGATGCATATTGCTCTGTGACTCCAATATTATCTTACCTGTACTGACCAAACCTAAATAAAAACTTTTAATAATGTAATTTCTGCATTGTTCTGCATTGGCTTACATGTCTTATTTGTATGCAGTGTATTTATAGTACTTTTTTTTAAAATTTGTTTCTGTGTCAATCTGGTCTCATACAGCATATGCCAAATACACGAAGTTACAGGTGTGCAATAATACTAATTTCAGGACAGCTTGATAGTGCTTGTCCTTACTGGCAGAAAAAGGGAGTGGGGGAAAGGAGAATGCTAATAAAAGTAAACCTTATGAGTTGGAACCTGTGTTTATTAAGGATTAAAAAAACCCAACAAAATCTAGAAGTATCTAACAGGTAAATATACAAATTAAAGTACAAAAAATTAACATGTTAGTTATTCAGACTTTTAAACCAGATATAACTTCTCTTGTTTTGAAATGCCTGTCTAAGGAAACTGATTTCTTAGCATGCAGAGAATGTAAGAATTACCTTTAATTAAGCATATCTTTATTGTTCAGTAGCAATGAGCTATGAATTTGTCAGAACCTGGATTTCTAGTGGTTATTTTCTATCTACTAGTTTACTGATGGTAGCACATAAGCAAGGCAGATGAACCTCAGGATTAAAGGGTGGGTTCAGTTCCGCGCACACTGTGTCTCACCTAAAGCATCCATTGCGCAGGCTTGACATAAGCAAGGAGATGAAAAAGCACTGGCTTTTAAAGGACTGTTCAAAGGTAAGACAGAAGTTAGCTGTATGTCTTAGGGTAGACTTAAGTCCAGTTTCAGCATTTTTCTACTTGGGAATCTTGTAGTTGTCAGATAACTAATAAAATTATTACATATGTAGCCACTAAAATAATAGGAATTAGCTTATTGCTTTGCAGTTCAATGTGGAAACAGACTTGTTTGAAAACAGTATTTCTCCAGAGTTCTAGAGCATACTTGAAATCGTTTAAATTTACAGTTGCAATAAATTCCTAGGTTATAGAAGGGATTCTGTGGTAGCATTTTTAAGTGGCATGTGACAATTAGTATCTGCTGTAATATTCTCCACAACAAGTGGATGTAATTAAAATGTTACCAGCTACTGTTGTCTGTGTTAGCGACATGCTAGTCCATGTACCACTTCTATTTTAATTTCACAGCATTCATGTCAGTGTTTTAAAACCACATAGTAGTTGTCACTGGAAGTGTAAATCCATTGGTGATACCTGGTTGCTTTTTGAATGCTACTTCAGCCCTTGTTGCCTGAAAAACAGCAGTTAATAGTTGAATGCATGAAAGGGAAATGACAGGTATCTACACAAAATGGTACTGGCATCTGGCACCCAAAGTAATTTCTAGTTCACAGAAATCTGGTGGTGATTTGTATTTGATCTTAGTATCATATTCTTTTCTTATCTGTAGCATGTATATATGTACCTTCTGGATCCTGTACATGTAGAATATAATATTTGTAAGAAGCTTTAAAGGCTATTATTATAATAATGGCTTTATCTGATCAGATGGTAAAAGCCCTGTGAGAAAATCTGTGGTCATTAAAAAAAATACATAGCTTTTGGGTGATGATAGCTTGCTACTTAAATCTATCAGTTACTATAGGACACTTGTGTTTTAAAATCTCATGATCTTGCAGTGTGTGGTACATAATAAATAGTAAAAAAAAAGAACACTTAGCTAAAGAGTTAAAAAAACCCAAAGTATACCCTCAGACTAGAAGTCAGCTTAACTTGTTGAAGAAAAATACTAAGGCAAGGTAAGCCATTCCCCTTAATATCCCCTGCTTAGAGGGTATCTTCTAAATAAGCAGGCATAGAGGGTGCTTTATTTGTTTGATTTCCCCCCCCCATCCCCCCAAACAAAAGCAACCCAGCAATTGCACTAGATAATAACAAAATACATCATACTGATTTACTTTCATGGAACGCTTTCTACAAGCAGTAGTTAACTACAGCATACTATATATGCAAATGCTAAAGCTTGTAATATTCATGTTCTTGTCTGGCTGTCAGTGCTTATATTATGACACTTAATAATCCTGAATGTAGTTGGTTAATTTTAACAAAAGATTACATTTTATTGATCACTAATAAATAAATTAGGTAGTGCCTATATCTTGCTGCATGTATTTTCAGCATTTTGGGGGAACTTGTTGATTTTGGTGAATTCACCTTTTATCTTAGCTGCTGAGAGATATTTTCATGTCTCAGATTTCTGCAAGAGTACCACTGGCTGATCAGAGAAACTAAGTGTGGTTTTCTAGAGTGCCTCAAGAGGTGGGGGGATGGATACACTACTGCCCTGTGCCTCACAGTGGGCTGAGATTCCCTGTGTGGGTCTCTCCAGGTGCATTTCCTGGTAATTGGCAAGATGAGGTTATTTATTTTCAACAATATTGTTCAGGCCTAACCCCCACTGAACTTGAGTTTTTTGTAACTTGAGTTTTTTGTAGTCTGGTAAATGTGGGTGCTGTAAGATTTTAGAATATAGATGTTTATTTAAAAGGACAAAATGTAAAGATTGAAGGTTTTGTGGGAAGAGAGATGACTTCCACACAATTTAAATTTTACCTAATGTTTGTCTTGTCTGCAGAGTGCCTCCTAACTGAGGGATGAGCTCTCCTCACTGACCTTTCTGGAGAACCAATTTTTAATGGGTCTCTGAACTCGTTTGCACTAACCATACTGATTATTTTAGCTGATGGGAGCTGAATTTAGCTGAATGAAGGATTTTCATGAGCACCAAAGGCCACTGATGTGCTACCACGAGGAAAGCAGACGTTGGGAAGCAAGATGCACTCGAAAATGGGTAAAAGAAATGAACCAACAAAAGTAAGTCGTAGACAAAATAGCTGAAAAGGTATTTGTTAGTGCTGCTAGTCCTGGCACTAAACTAACAAAACATGTCTTAGCCAGGCAGGTTTTCAAAAGCTTATCACAGCTGTGCTGTGGTGCTGTCGCCTCTCGGAGAGGAGACAGGAGCCGGGTGCCCAGCAGCCCTACAACGGGCACAGGTACCCGGCGCGCTTCCTTATGCTTCGTAGGGGCTCCTGGGCAGCCTCGCCTCGCTTGGAGCTACGGAGGGCCCGAGTTTTAAGGTAGCGACTCTAAACAGCGGTTTTGCTAATAGCGACGCGCTACGCCCCTTGTTTAAAAAATGCTGTTTTCCTCCATCTGAAGAAACATTGTGACTGCGGGGCCAGGTCACCTGCGGCCCGGCGGAGCTCGGCCCCCTCAGCCGCGGGGGCGGGCGGGGACGCGGCTGCGCCGTCCGTGTCGCGCCCGGCTCCAGGCGCCGCCATGTTGTGCCGCTTTGCCTCCGCGGGCAGGTGAGAACGGGGCCGCGCGCGGGGGCAGCGCGGGGTCGGTCAGAGCCCCGCGGCGTGAGGCGGCGGCCGCGCCGCCCTCGCCCTCCCCCTCCGCCGCCGAGCCGTGGGGGGAAAGAGGGAAGCGGAGGAGGAGGGGGCGGGAGGGTCTTCTTCTCGCCCCTCGGTCCCCCCGCCATTTCGCGCGGAGGGAAGTCGCGCTGCTGCCGGCTGCTCCTCCCCGGCAGCGCCGGCCCGCGGCAGGGGGCTGCTGGCGATCGTCCTTGCGCCCTTCCACGTTCTGTCGGCGCCCTCCATCCAGGGGCAGTGGTGGCCCGACATAGTGCTGCAGACCCTGTCGTCTTTGCTGTCTGGAGTCGCCCCCCACGGCCACTCTTCAGGGCCCCGAGGGTTTTGCTTGTGTTGTGTCCCAGGGTTATGTCAAGGTCACCAGCGATACGGCGAAAGGCCTCAGGAGCTCACCGTCCTGCCGGCCCGGCGGTTCTTCTGTCGTCGTGGCCCTTGTCATGTCGCCTGACAAGTGCGAGATGTTAAAATGGGGAAGGGTAACACCACCTGCGCGGTTTTCTGTGCCGGTCATCGTGGCTGCCCCGGCATCACGTTCAGTGTGCTTTCCCGGTACCCACTGTGCAGAGAGGGAAGCACATGTTGTCAGTGTTAATGCTGTAGAGGTTTGGTCCTGGAAACTCGGTGACTGTACAGGTGTTATAGCCTTTTTATTTCGCAGTACGGGGACCTTGTGAATAGTGAGGGAAAGGCACCTCAGCAGCAGCTTTACTTCTATTTTTAATCAATAAAGATTAGGCGAAGCTTTGAATGTCAGCGTGTTATTACTGTCTTTCCATTCCCGTCTCTGCTTTTCACTGGCCTGCATGTTTGGGAGAGTGTGTGACTCTTCGCAATGGTCTGGGGTCTTGGTTTGAGAAGCAGTAGCTTTACACTGCAAAGCCCCGTATATGTGGCCTTTCTATGAATTCATCTTTGCAGTTAAGCTACAGAGCATGCTTGCTTTGAGCTCTTGAAAAATGGAAATTTGACTTCTTCACTTAGGATACCCCAGTACCTAAAGCAGCTGATTATAACAGTAATGGTTTCAGTCTATTTCACTGGTAGAGCCCCAGTATTACTAAGACTGTTTCCTTCTGGTTTGTTTTTTTTTTTCTCTTCTAGAAGCAGTGCTAAGCTGGTAGCACCACTGGGATGCTTGGTTCCTAGGCAGAAGCACACTCTTCCTGACTTGCCATATGATTATGCTGCTCTGGAACCTCATATTAATGCAGAGATCATGCAGCTGCACCACAGCAAACATCATGCTGCCTACGTGAACAACCTGAACGTTGCAGAGGAGAAATACAAAGAGGCACTGGCAAAAGGTTTGTATATCCACAATCAAAGGTGAGATGGAAGCTTATCGGCAAAGATGATACAGGAGAGGAAAAAATGGGAAATAGTTTGTCTTAAAAGTTTTGGATTATGTACTTGTAGTATTGTTAGGTAAAATCTCTCATTGTAAGCCTCACTGGTGCTGATAATTGGAAATTTAATGAAACTAAAAAGCATGGATTCTGTTCTCTGTAACACTGTATAACTAGAAGAAAATTTATTGATACTTGTGGTTTTAGTCCATATTTACATTAGTAACTAGAACCAAACAAGGTCTGAGACAATAGGAAATTTCAGTCATTTTACTGAATGAGTACTTTGTAATAAAAGGTTAGTAGCAAAGGTATATA